AGTGAAACTTGTGATTAACATCTTAATTAACGTTTTTTCCTCCTGTGAGAGCTTTATCATCCACGTTACGGTTATTTTTATGGCTTTCTGTAACGTGTTATTGTATTTTTTAGTCACAAATTCTTTTATAAGACTCGTTCAATTCTTTGAAATTATTTCAAGATATCTCTCTATATTTTTCTATGCGACGTTCGCATTTATTTAACGTTCCTTATGTGTTATTCTTTTCATTCAATGCGGATCACATTTAATTAAATTAATTTAAATTAATTCAAAATCAAGTTATCAATTAAAGTGAAAGTTCTTCTGCCTTCTGAGATCTACGTAGATCCACGTTAGGCTCGTTTTAAATTAACTTTCCGCGATATATCGTTGTATTTCTAGCCCAAAAATTCTTTCGTAGGACTGAAATCATTTCAAGCCATCTTTCTCTTCTATATTTTCCTCCTCGCCCAATACTCGCAACGTTCAAGTTTCCTTATGTTGTACTTTCTGTTTTGTTCGTTTAACACGGTTTCACATTTAATTTAATTGAATGAAATAGTCCTTTTACAGCTGTTCTTCTGAATGAGACTCGAGATAAGTGAATTGTCGTTGCAATGGTTGAGCCACTGGCCGGAAGTCATTCCGGATGCTGGCACTTCTTGCGGGTGCAGTGTGGTTTCCATTTGTTTTGCGACGAACACTAATGTAGGTTGTGCACGTGTTCATACGTCGTAGAACGGAATGGCTTGAATCGTTGACACCTGTAATTCAAAATATTTCATTTTCCCTAAATGTACAGTTGAATACGTTGAACCTTGTCGTTGAAGGGTGTCGACAAATTATTTATCAGCTAATAAAGGCTAACTAATAAAGGCTCTGGGATATTCATGAAAGTACGACAATAGATGTCCCTATTTATCCCTGTCGGAAATTAATATTACGAATTTAATATTCTTTTTTTTTTCTTTTCGAGAATTCATTTTCAATTCCTTTGAGACTTTCTTCTTCTTACAATGATGAGTAGGAAACGATACGATAGAAAGATTTAAAACTTTCAAAATCACGCTCAAAGATCTTGCGACCCACTTTCTAAACAATTCGAAGGTGTTCCCAAAGCCATGACAAAATAATTTGTCGATACGCTGTAATTGCATAACATTGTAATTGCAGAGGAAAGCAATTCAATTTAATTTAAATCTTAATTAATGTAAGCATTCCACTTGTAAGAAGCTTATTATTAATTTAATGTTTAAAATTGTTAAATAATTAAATAATAAATAATTAAATAATAAATATTAAATAATAATAATGTTAAAAATATTTAACGTTTAACGCATTCAAATAAAATTGATAATGTTCGAAGAATGAGTATCGTGGTATTTTGGAAAATTTAAACATTATAATATGATACCTGCTAAGGGAATGCCCATTGTGCTAGCATTATGGTTATCGCGTTGTCTCTCTCTATGAAGAATTCGATGTACTCCAGGCAAACGTACGATCGCAATTATGAAACCAGTGCGAAATCTTGCGTTCATCCAGCAATAAATTACTGGGTTGTAACAGGAATGCGACATGGCCAGCCAATGGAGAATCATCCATACGAACGGAAGACCGGTCCAATTTTCGAAAGTCTCGTTATTATCTATTAGTAGCTAAACATTTGATAATATCTATTTGTTTCAGTTGATATGTTCCCTCGTTTAATTGATCTTACTGATTTAGTAAAAGACTTAATTTCTTAAGAAATTAAAGCGAATAATAGTATTGATATTTAAGTGGATAATTTAACTATTAAAGATATGTGTATACTGATTATTATTACGTATGTATATGCCTTGAAAAAGAAATTTATATATATTTACGTATAAATAATTTAACTATTGAAGATATATCTACTAATTGTAGATACCTTAGAAAAAGATTGTCTGAAAGTTAAAGCGAATAATAATATTGACAGGCAATTCTAACGACAGGGTATATTAATATGCATATTTATATTAATTTTATTATTTTTCATGACATTTTATTTTTACTCCATTTGTGAGAAATAATATACATATTACGCATTAAATGCAATGCTAGTTCAAGATTTACTAGGAATAAGTTACTTACGTTTAATATATTGAATGGAAGCCAACAAATAGTGAATACTATTACGACCGTCACCATCATTTTAACCATCTGAAACAACCATATTTGTTTCTTTACCGTTATCAATTTAATCAATAAAACAATAAAAAAAAAAAAA